TTTATTTCTTTTATTATAATCACGCGACAAAAAATACTAAAAATCTAACTTAAAATTCGTAATAAGTTGCCCCAAAAACCCCCGAGTAACAAGAGTCAAGAGAATTTAAACGGTTTTTAAAAAATTCGTCCACCATATCGGAACCGCCATTTTGAATTTTTAAAATCTATCTTCAAATTTGTAATCAGCAACCCAAAAAACTTCTAAGTGACTAGTTTTTTTTTTTAACACTTTAACGCCCATTTTCAGGGAACTTAACAAATAAATTTTTTTTCAATTTTCTTGTTCATTGACTCCTAAATATTCAATAAACACATAAATTTTAAAATAAATACAATATTACCATTTTTTTGTTACCCAGTGTAGTATTTGCTGTCGCAGTTAACATTCGCCGGACTGAATACCAAACCAGGGTGGGAGATGATTCAAATATTTTTTTAATTCTATTTTACAAAAAAACTTGAAATCATCTAGACTTTTTACTGTAAGTGTTTTATGTTGTCAAATAATGGATATAAAAATATTATATTGCATTTTTTATTTGTTTAAACAATTTATTGTTGTTATTTATTAACTTTTTTTGTTCTGCACCTAGAAAAATTGAGTTTTTTCTAATTTTGCAATTTATCAAGCCAAATATATTAAAAGATAGATTTGATGTCAAATTATAAATTCAACAATTGTTTAAACAATGTATTGTTGTTATTTTGTAACTTTTTTTGTATTGCACTTAGAAAGGTGTAGTTTTTTTTCAAATTTTGCTATTACATTATGCTTGTTAAGTTGCAAAAATTGCAACTTTCTAGGAATATTATGAAAAATGTTAATAAATAGCAACAATTATTTGTTTAAACAATTTATAATAATAATTGTTGCACAAACTACTATGGGTGAGTACTTCACCCACAAATCATTATTAAGTTTTATGTTATGTTTTCGAAAGGTTTTTTTGTGCTCTTTCGAATGGTGAAATTTCTTTTTAAAATTCAAAATTTACCCCTTTTTTGAAAATCAAAAATATATGAAGTATTTTGGATAAGTAGACTGTTAACAAACAATTGCAATGTTAACTAATTGTTTATTAACAATCTACTTATCCAAAATACTTCATTTAGGGCTCGTTGGATTCGAAATTACGTTAACTTTTAATTTCTAATTTCAGAATTACGGTAACTTTATTTGTTTGTAAAATATTCCATTTGTTATAAACATTAATTAATTAATTAATATCTCGAAAACAAAAAAAAAACGTCATTCTAGCTTTTTTTGGTATTGAAAGTATATATCTTAAGCTTTATTTTGAGGGTAAAAAAAAGTGTCTTTTCGAAAGAAAAAAAATGTTTGATTTTCAATAAAAAGGAGTAAATTTTGAATTTTTTAAAAAAAATTTTGATTTACGATTTTTTAAAAAATCCACTGTTTATATTTGACGAAAAACTTGAATCCCCTCCCCCCTCTACAGTTTTGCATAAAACTTAATAATGATTTGTGGGTGAAGTACTCACCCATAGTACAGCTAATGGTTTTACTAAAATAGCGAAAGATTTAATTGAAACAAATAAAACTTTTGCTATTATAGCGAAACGTTTCGCTATTCCAGGTAAATTTTTTTTCCCATGTAGCAAACCCATTTTTCTCGGACTCTAACTTTACAATAAAAAAATTGAAATAATATAAATTTTCAATCTCGAAAAGTGTTTATGTTTTTGCGTCATTTGTTGGACAAAAAAAACTTTAAGCAAATGAAATAAAAACATTCACATTTTTCGAGATTAAAACTATATATATATATATAAATTCAATCTTTCTATAGTGTAAAGTTGAAGTCCGATTTTTAACATTGTATTAAGAATAATTGAAAATCATTGTGTACCTTGTATATTTGAAATTAATTGAATAGAAAATATACGGGACGAATGATAAGAAGTTAATTTGTGAATTCTAAGCACGATCTATGTAACATGTTTATAAGCAAATCGTTGCTTTAGAGAATTTTCCTTATATGGTGGTGTATGTATTTGTGTATGGGAATCGATGGGTCAATCCAGTTCGCAGCGAGAACTTGTCTCGTGTCCCGTTCTCTCGCACGAGTTGCGGGGCAGGAGGTTACGGCTACGAATTATAGCTTCAGTGCAACTAGTATGAGTTCCTGGATACTTATAGAACAACACCTATATACATATATATGTATATATATAAAGGGAGAGAGAGAGAGGGATAGAGAACTGGAGCCGTATTGCGTTTATATGTATATATAACTCTTTCGCATAACGGTCGCGTATATATTCCTCTTTTGACGGGGTACACACATATACCTATATATGTATAGTAAAACGCGTTGCGTAGGCGAAATTGTTGCGTTAGTTTGACCTCCCATGAACTTTCGATGGACCGATAACATAGATCGACGAGAATCGATCTAGAATGTCTGCTTAGATATTCCAATCGAGATCGATCTCCTTTTCCCTCGTGGATTCACTGTCAAGAATCATTCCTGTCCATTCCACCGATAATCTTCAATTTCAACGCGAACTGTTACTGACCTTTTCTTATATACACATATATATATATAATAAGGGTTCATGGATTTTTCTTTCGATAAAAACAATTTTCTTGCTATTGAAAAGAAAAATCGAGCTTTTATATTTTTTAAATAGTATCACAAAAAAAATATGCACCCAGAAAAAAAATTTCAAAGAAAACAATTTCTTTGATAAATTTTTTTTTCATACAAAGAAAATTTATTTTTTTCAAACAAATTATTTTTGATTCAAAAAAAAAAAAATATATATCTTCTTTTCAAAGAAATTTTTATATTTAATTCAAATAAATATTTTTTTGACCCTCTATAGGTATCAATTTTAGAATTTCTTTGATTTAATGTAGAAATTTTTTTCATTTAAAGAAAATTGCTATCATTCAAAGAAATTTTCTTTGAAATTAAAAAGTATTTTTTGTTTCAAAGAAAATTTTATTTTGAATGAAAGAAAACAAATCAGAGAAATTGGTTTCTTTAAATCAAAGAAATATTTTCTTTGAGTGTGGACTCATTTTTGTTGCATTTTGAAATGAGCCAAATGCACTGAAAAAAATATTAATTTGATTCAAATACTCGATTACTTGACTATTACAGAGCCACACACAAAAAAAAAAAACAGTTTTGATCTGGGGGTCTGACTATGCCTACTTTATGTTTCTTGGGTCGCTGAATCCGAATTCGAGGTCCGTTTTACCCCCATCAGATCAGGATTTTGAGATATTCTCAAAAAACCAATATGGTGGACACTTTTTCGAAAAATTCATCGGATTTGTCTGAAACTCTTTATTCAGGGGTTTTCGGAGTCGCTGATTACGAATTTGAAGTTAGTTTTCAAATATTCAAGATGGCGGATCCAAAATGGCTAACACATTTTCGAAAAATTCATCGGAATCGCATGAAACTCGTTATTCGGGGATTTTCGGTGTCGCTAATTACGAATTTGAACTTTTTTTTTTTTTAAATTCAAGATGTCGGACACTTTTTCGAAAAATGCCGTCATTAGCGACTTCGAAAACCCCCGAGTAACGAGTTTCAGGCGATTCCGATGAATTTTTCAAAAAAGTGTCCACCATTTTGAATTTTTAAAAACTGACATCAGATTTGTGATCAGCGACCCCAAAAACCTCCGAGTAACGAGTTTCAGGCAAATCCAATGAATTTTTCAAAATTCGTTCGTGATATTGGATCCGACATTTTGAATTTTGAAAAACTGACATCGATTTCGTGATCAGCGACCCCAAAAACCCCCGAGTAACGAGTTTCAGGCAAATGTGATGAATTTTTCGAAAATGTGTCAGCCATTTTGGATCCGCCATTTTGAATTTTGAAAAACTGACATTAGATTCGTTATCAGCGTCCCCAAAAACCCCCGAGTAACGAGATTCAGGCAAATGTGATGAATTTTTCGAAAATGTGTCAGCCATTTTGGATCCGCCATTTTGAATTTTGAAAAATTGACATTAGATTCATGATCAGCGACCCCAAAAACCCCCGAGTAACGAGTTTCAGGCAAATCCGATGAATTTTTCGAAAATGTATCAGCCATTTTGGTTTTTTGAGGTTATCTCAAAATCCTGATCTGATGGGATAAAATGGACCTCGAATTCGGATTGAGCTACCCAAAAAACATAAAGTAGGCATAGTCAGACCCCCAGATCAAAACTTTTTTTTTTGCGTGGCTGTGTTATCAAATAAATATTTTCTCGAATCAAAAATTTTTATTTAAATTAAATAAATTGTATTTGAATCAATAATTTTTGTATTTGAAACAAATACTATTTAATTGACTCAAATAATAATAATTTGATAATAATCAAGTAACCGATTATTATTTGAATCGAATAAAATTTTTTTTCAGTGTGCCAAACACATTTTTGTTACACTTGAGAAATAATTCCTCCACAGATATAGATAAGGTTGCATAAAATATCTTATTGATTTAAATTTATATATTAATTGTAATTGGTCACCTCTGTACAGTTTATCTTTATGTAAATAATAACATTAGAACCGCAGGAGCATTTTCGTTTTAAATAAATAAACAAAACAATATACATAGAAGGTGATAATGAAGCAAGCAAATAATTTTTTTAATTTTCCTTTTAATATACATGAAATAATATTTAAATCTAAAAATTATAAATTTATAATGTAATTTATATTATAAGTTATAATATTATGTTTATTAAATGTGTCGAAGCAATTTTGGAATTACCTTATCTTTATACCTCCGTGCTCCGAGTTGTATATGTTTACATTAAAGTACAAAGTGTACCTTAAGCCAAAGGTCATAACAATATAGGGATGGAAAATCCCAAACATAATTAAATCAGTTGCAAGTCGTGTCTTGACCTGTTTAGACGTGGTTAACGTTAGTGTATAAATTTTGTAATTTTAAAAATAAAATTTTGTCTGAGTTAAATATTTATTTACTTTATTGTCTTTTATTTTATATTTTCAGATTTAAAGTACATTGCCACGGAAGTGATGGAATTTTTAAATTCACGAATGAAAAAAATCTTTGAATGTTAAACTTTTTTTTTTTTTGTCATTTTTGTAAATATTTTTCTTTCTTTTCGGGAGTGTTCGAAATTCTTAAAATCGCGATCGCTTAAATTTTTTGGAAAAAGTATTTTGTTTTTTAATTTTTAAACACGTGGTTTCGGGAGTGTACGAAATTTTTTTAAATCGCGTGTGTTTGTGTTTCCAGCAGATCTTATCGTCCAAAAAAAATATGATACATCGATTGCAGCCTAAGGTTGGTGATTTATATATTTTTTTATAAATAATCATTACTAATCATTACATACAATTGCTTTTCTACTAAAAAATTTACAAAAAATATTTTGTTTAAATTTTTTGAACGGATTATCTGAAATTAAAAAATTTAATTTTTACCCCTTTAGGCACGAACATGGCGCTTTTAGATACCTGACGTCCTGGTGTAAAGTCAATTATTTATTCTCCCGTCTAAAAATGGCGTCCATTTTTGCCCTAGGGTAATAATGAACATTTGGTATGTGTGTTTTTTTGCTCTAGGGTAAAAATGGACACCATTTTTAGACGGGGGAATAAATGATTGGCTTTACACCCGGACATCAGGTAACAATGGCTGCTTTTGGACCTTTGTTGCTTCATATACTATTTTAATGTTAAATAGTCATTTTAAAAAATGCTCAAAAAACAGTTTTAAAAAAATATGTTTAAGCTCATTATTATCAAAATTAACCCTTATTAATGGCTCCGGCAAATTACTTCTATTGTATCGCGTATTTTAGCGATTATATGTGCGATCCCACGTGAAATTTATAGTCGAGGTTTAAAATTCGGGTAAATATATTTTTTTCTTATTCTTTATAAAAAAAATTAGAGAATTCTTTTTTTTCGTCAATCTTTTGAGTTACGAATTTTCAAAATGTTGTTTAGTCAAAAGTAGACCTATTTTTAATTAACCCCTTGGGCAGTCTAGTAGAAAAATTTGGTACTTGGGGGTTTTTGGGATCGCTGAATCAAAATTTGATGTCAGATTTTCAAAATTCAAAATGGCAGACCCAATATGACGGAAAATTTTAAAATTTATTCGATTCGTTTAAAATTCGGTTCAGAGGGGTGTTTTTTGGATCGCTAAATCCAAATCTGACCTCAAATTTGGATTCAGCGACACCAAAAACCCTCGAGTACCGAATTTTGAACGAATCGAATCAATTTTAAATTTTTCCGCCATATTGGATCCGCCATTTTAAATATTTTAAATCTGACCTCAAATTTGGATTCAGGGACCCTACAAACCCTCGAGTAACGAATTTTGAACGAATCGAATCAATTTTAAATTTTTCCGCCATATTGGATCCGCCATTTTAAATATTTTAAATCTGACCTCAAATTTGGATTCAGCGACCCTAAAAACCCTCGAGTAACGAATTTTGAACGAATCGAATCAATTTTAAATTTTTCCGCCATATTGGATCCGCCATTTTAAATATTTTAAATCTGACCTCAAATTTGGATTCAGTAACCCCGGAAACCTTAGTATATCCATTGACATTCAAATCGAATTATGTTTAGTATTTATTTCTTCGACTTTTATAAAATGTTAACAAAAAGAAAATTGAGATTTTTTTATAAAAAATATTAGTTTTTTTTAAATAAACAAATTAACTTTTTTTATATTTAAGCGAGATTTTTACTTTTTTTTGGTGTACCTACCTGCAAGTGCTAAGAAGACTTTGCAAAAGGTTTTAGAGTGGGCCTGACAAGTTTAAATAAATTTTTACAGTCGGATTGAAAGCTTAATCCATTAAGAACGGGAAGTACAAAATTTTCAAAAATAGTTGGATTCGATTGAAAATCGTTACTCAGGGGTTTTTAGGGTCGCTGATTACGTGTTGCAAAGTCTTTTTAACACTTGCAAGTCGGTACACGAAAAAAAAATAAAAAAAATCGGATTCAAATGTAGGGTCAGCCGGAGTAAATCCGAATGCTAATTATTTCTGCTTAATTAAAATTTTAAAAAAATAAGTTAGACATGAGAATTTTTACCTCAGATCCTCTTCAAGAGATTCTAAGTATTATCCCATTTTTCGTTTGTTAATTAGCAACAGCATAAACAAAGATAACGAGTATTGCAAAAAAGATTGAAAATCAAAGATGACACTCTTTCAGTATTTTGTCTCGTATTTGAAGAAAAAGAAGCTAAAAATTCATTTTATTATTTATAATTGTTTGTTGTGAATACTAGAACAGAAACTATTTTTCATTTTTGCCTTCTGTAAAATTTTATTAATAATATCAGACCGTTCGTATTTACCCAGGAAAATTGGAAAACCGGGGTAAATCCGAACGGTATTTTCAATAATTTTTTCTTATATCAGAGCCACACAAAATTCTTTTTATTTGATTACACTATTATTTTAACATAATAAAAGTACATAGAAAAAAGTTTTTCTTTCTATTATGTATCCTCGTTAGTAATTAATAAGCAGAAACTTAATCTTTGTTCTCTCGAAGGAGTGTTCCACTTTTTTTGCCAAATGGTTTGTTGAAAAAAGTTTTTCAGGATCTTAATAAAATTTGGTATTCTACGGTTTTTGGGGTCGCTAATTACCAATTTGAAGTCAGTTTTTCAAAATTCAAAATGGCGGATCCAATATGGCGGACGAGAATTAAAAAATTCATTGGATACGCTCGAAAATTGTTACTCGGGGGGTTTCAGGGTCGCTGATTACGAATTTGGAGTTAGCAAATTTGATCATTTTTAAAAATAAGTTTTAGGAAAGTCCGCCATATTGAATCCGCCATTTTGAATTTAAAAAATTTGACTTTTATTTTTGTATTTACATTCAATCACTCCAAAATACTTTCTGTACCAAGTTTTGCAAAAATCCGTTATGATTTGATAAAGTTATTGAAGGTTTTAATTGTGTAATGCATTTTAATTTTTAACCTGTTTGATTTTTGTATTTATATATGACGCATACATAATAGGTTTATTATCGTATTTTTTTGAGTTTTTATATGAGTTTAACAATTGCAATACTTTAAATTTATTTTCCCTGAGATTTTTCTGAAATACAGTGGCGTTCGTATTTACCCCGGTATTTTAGGAAAGTTGCAAAGTATCGAGGTAAATACGAACGCTAAGTTTCCTGCGATTGTAATTTATCAAAAATTTTTGCTACCCCATAAAATTGTTCTATGGAAGTAAAGTAACAACTTCATGCACCAGAATACCGGAAGTATTGTCTTTTAAAAGAAAAAACTTATGTTATTGTTGAAACTTACTAAAAGCGTTCGTATTTACTCCGGCTGACCCTAAATAAAATTAATTTATATTTATATTAAAAATGAAAGAGAAAAAAATATTAAAGCGATGTATATGAGGCATTCTATTTCAAACCGTACCACCTACAAATGACTATCAGGGGTAGAGCACTTTTCATACCTAGTTTATTTTATTTAAAAGTCTTTAAATAGAAAATGTAAAAAATGCTTTTAATAGAGAATTTTTCAAGCTTTAAGATGGTATAAGTCTTTATTTTAAAAAAATTTAATTCTTGGTTTAATTTGCATTTAAAAACTTTCAGAGTTAATTTCTCAAAATATGTCATTTTCAATTTTGATGAAATTTGTCTCAAAAGAAAAATTAAATTCTCTAGTTTCTACCATCCAAAGATTATAATGGGCTTTTCAGTGGATCCAGGAAAAAAAAATAAAATGGAAATTCACTTTTTACTGAATTTTGCGTAGAAAACGTAACCCTCTTGAATTTCACGTCAGAGTCAAAATCATTTGTTTTTTTTTTTAAATAATATTGTTAAAAAGGTAAATTTATTTTAACCTCGAAGAAATCTTAAATTAAAAAATTGTTACTTTCATTTTACAATAAAATTCAAAATGGTAATTAATTTGATATTATTTATATTACTAACATAATTATATATAATAAAAGATACATAACAATTTAACTAATAAAGATATATTATTAAATTATATTTTTGCTTTACAATTTTGACAAAGTGATCTTTTTAACAGAATTAAAAAAAAACAAATGATTTTGACTCTGACGTGAAATTCAAGAGGGTTACGTTTTCTACGCAAAATTCAGTAAAAAGTGAATTTACATTTTATTTTTTTTCCCTGGATCCACTGAAAAGCCCATTATAATCTTTGGATGGTAGAAACTAGAGAATTTAATTTTTCTTTTGAGACAAATTTTATCAAAATTGAAAATGACATATTTTGAGAAATTAACTCTGAAAGTTTTTAAATGCATATTAAACCAAGAAGTACATTTTTTTAAAAATAAAGCCTTACACCATCTTAAAGCTTGAAAAATTGTCTATTAAAAGCATTATTTACATTTTATATTTAAAGACTTTTAAATAAAATAAATTAGGTATGAAAAGTGCTCTACCCCCGATAGTCATTTGTAGGTGGTACGGTTTGAAATAGAATGCCTCATATATTTTTCGCCTTCTCAGAAACGGACATTTGCCTTAAAAGATGATAATAAAATAACCATCAAAGAATATGATTAATGTCAATGAATTAGTTTAGTTTGAATTGAAAAATTACAACAAATGAGGTTGAGGAAATTAAGGTCGTTTCTTTTTTCTTATGCGTAATGATTATAGCCGCATGTTGATAAGTCATGAGTGTATATGTTATATGACAATAAGTATATTATGAAAGGGCCGCGGCAGGAATAGGAACGTTTTGCTTTGTCGTATAGTTATATGATGCTCTTGCACGTTGACTAAGGAGGGCCTCGAATCGAGCTTGCCGGTACTTGAAGTCGGTATAAGGTATATGGTAAGGAACGGGTAGATCATTAGCCATGATTTGTTGTCGAGCAGGCTTCCCAATGACCTCACGGCCCGGAGCGCGAACTCTGGGCCAGTCAAGATCTTTGCACGATGATCTCCTATAGTGTATCTATATATAGAGGGTGTTCCATTTTAAACTTTCCATACAATTTTCTTTTGCATTCCTTTCATAATAATGATGATAATAATAAACAGATGGAAGATTCTCTTGCTTACATATATATATTTTTTGTTTGGTATTAAAAATCATGAGCTTTCTAGAATATTCAAATTTATGTCTAAATTATTTCTTAAAAAATCGCGATTTTTGATTTTTAAACAAGTTTTTCGGCGAAATTAATTAAGGTTTTTTTTTTATCTCAAAACCAGAGTTTAGAATTTTGAAACTTTTTCTCTCCTCATTTAAAACAAATTGAGAATACATAATTTTTTT